CGCCCATTCCCTGCTGGGGTGCTGTGCCTGGAACCACAGCTGCAGCTGAACCTCACCCCAGCCCAGCCCCTCCGAGATCCTGTAGCCGACAGGACCTGCAGCCACGCGTGGCAGCTTGCACATGGGAATTCACATGCGTGTGGGCCCAGGCTTCCCTACATACAGTGTCCGAGCATGTAGGGACCTGTGCACACCAGGCAACAGGTGCCAGGCAGAGTTGGTGGCTGCACCACATGCCCGGGAGAGCTTCAGAGGGGATAAGTCTGCCCGATCACAGAGCAGAAGCGGGGGGACGCTGGGGCAGGTGGGAGAGGGAGGCCAAATCGGCTGGATGCGGCCCCTCCCAGCTGGCCCGTCAGAGCAGGGGGCTGCTTCAGGCCTGGGCTGTGCCTGCTTGGCACGGTTTCCCCTTCTGCGTGCATGCCCTTGAGACTGGAGGAGTAGCAGGAAGAAGGGCATGAGGCTGGGGGTGGGTGGGGGGAGACGGGGGACGAAGCGACCTCTGGGTGCTCAGGCCAAGGTGGCAATGCGGGCCTTAGAGGTGGGAGGTTCCAGAGGCTTCCTGCACTGTTGTAGGGCACAGCAGAGACCAACTGCTGCCCTGGGGCAGGGGCCTGGGTGGGGTGAAAGCTCCAGCCCAAATAGGTCAGTTAGGTGGGACCCACCTCCACCTCAAGGGGCAAGCCCCTCCTCGGCACCTGAACAAGAGCGGGGGCCATGGGCAGCCCAGGCTCCCCCCACAACCCGGGCGGGACGGCGGGAGCCTTGCCAGGAGCTGGGAGGGGAACCCAGCCCAGGGACAGTGAGCGTGAGGACAGAGCCGGCCCGGGCGCTTCTTGGTGTGTGTCTGCCCGGGGTCACCCACACCTCACAACAGCCAGGGCGCCCACCCGGGCACTTTGCAAGCACTGCCACAGCACTCAATTTGAAATGTTTGCCAGGGCCAGGCTCCCCGTCACCTCATGGGGCTACTATCCTCTCCCCAACTCAAGAGGCAACGCAGAGCTCAGGGACATCCCCCCACCCCCACCCCTGCCTCCAGAGCTGCCCCTAGCTCCCTGGGACCGCTAGGAAGGAGAGTCCTGAAAATGTCATCTGGACCCCATCCTCGTGCTGGCTCTTCCAGCTTAGAGATCGCCTGGTCCTGGTGACTCACCTTCCCTCCACCAGGCCCTGCGGGAACCCTTCAGGTTGGCTCCTGCCCTGCCAGGGGCCTGGGAGACTGAGGGTGGTCTGTGTGCTGGGAGCATAGCCAGGCAGTCAAGGTGGGCTGCCTGGAGGAAGGTCCAGGCAAGGTCTGAGGACAATAGGGTTCCCGAGGGGGAGAAGCTGGGACTGCCAAGGCCCCAAGCCCACAGGAGGCGTGGCAGGGGTAGTCCGGGCCCAAAAGCAGCTGAGAGGCTGGAGCTGGCTGAGTGGGGCAGGAGAGAGTGGGGGATGGGGGCTCAGCCTCAGAGTCATGTGCCCTGTGGCCACCAAAGGGCCTCAGCAGAAGCAGGCAGGGAGTGCAGAGGGAGGCCGCTGGGCGTGAGGGGGGCCAGGCGAGCTGAGGCATTCGGAGCTCGGCCTTCAGACTCCGCTTGGCCAAGAGCCTCCCAGATGTCTCCTCTGCCCCTGGGCTCCGGGGCAAAGTACGGCCTCGCACCCGGGCCTGCCTGCGGTCTGTTCCCCAGCACAGGACGTTCCCACTGCCAGGAGGACCTTCCACCCCCACACTCTTCTCAGGTGACAACCTCGCATGCTCTGGGCCCCAGGGGTTGAAGCACTGACCCTTAGACAGGCTGCCAGGTCCCGGGGACTCCAGCTGCCCTGTGGTCAGCCACGGCCCCCAGCCTCGGGGCCTCTGCTGAAATGGGACGCACCACTGCCTTTGCCGCTGCCCTCGCGGCGCTCATGCAGCATTAGGAGGCTGCCCGCCAAGATCCTCAGCGTGGCATCTGGGGGGTGAAGCCAGCCCCAGGTGGCACTGGGAGCCACCCGGTGCCCCACTCGGCAGCGAGTGGCACCTGCACGCACACCCTTCCCCAGGAACAACTTCCAGCTGCACCGGCCAAGGCCGCCTCGCTTCCCCACACCCCGGCACCTTCTCCTGACCAGGCACGCCTACCTTGGGGGCCGTGGTTCTGGCCTCCTCCTGGGAGCCCGTCTCCTCCCTCTGGCCAGTGCGAGCCCCCCGGGCACATCTGAGGACACGGCCGGTCCTCTAGGAAGGACACTCTGGGTGGGGCAGAGGGAGACATGCCCGTTGGAGGTAGCCTAGAGGGTGGCAGAGCGTGGGGGTGCTGGGTGCTGGGGTCCAAGGAGGGCCAGAGCGGAAGGCGAGGAGCAGCTTGCCTTTTTGAAGTGAGGGCTGGGCAGGGGCCTCCCTGACCCTGCGTCCCCAGCTCAGCTGCAGGAGAAACCTGTTGAGTGGGATCAACTCACCACAGGGCTCCTGCCCATGGGAAACCAGAGCTGTGGTCCCACAGCCCCAGAAAGGCCGATGCCGGCTCCCAAGAGGCAGCTCTGCAGCGCATATGCGCCTGGCCCCTGCTGTGCCAGGCTGGGGGCCAGGCCCCGCTCACACGTGAGCAGTGACGTTTGAGCCCGGAGCCGCAAGGACAGACAGACTCTCCTTTACCCCCTGTCGATGGGTTTCCCAAGCCCCTCTCTGACTAGGCCCGCCTGCGTCCCGTCTCGCTGGGCCTGTGAGCCCAGGGCTAGCAAGAACCCCTGCCAAGTCCGTTTCTGGAGACTCCCCCAGCCCTGCTATCTGATCACACTCCTCATCTCCCCCCCCCGCCGTGTGTCCCCTGCCAGCCTCCTGCAAGATCCTGTCAAGTTGCTTTAGCCAGAGTCCCCACCTGTGGCACCGCCCCTCAGCAGTCTTCCATCCACTGACCCCCTCGGCAATGGCTGCAGATCTCTGGATGTCTGTGTTGTGTCTGGAGCTGAGTATCCAGTCTCCCCTATTGGACACTTTAATAAAGTTTCTCTCACCACTTTAACGGACTATCAGAATAACTGTTTCTGAACAAGCTCCTGTCCCACCCAGAGCCCTGGGGCCCTCGGGGCCAGTTTTCTCTGCCTGAGACCTGGTGGGGACTGTGCTGGAGGGTGGGGCCTAGGTCTGTGCCACTGTGGGGAGGGGTGCGGTGCGGAGGCGTCTGAAGCCCCTGGAGTTGGGCCGCAGACGTTCGCAAGCCAAGGTCAGGGCAAGGCGCCCGGGTGCCAGGGCTGCTCTTGTGCTGACATATTAACTCACTGAGGTCAGGAGGAGGGTGGTGGTCACTCATTACCGAGGGCCAAGGCCTCGGGGCTGCAGCACAGAACTTGGCCTTACGTAACCTGTGGGCACCTATATAGAGGCACGTGTGGGACTGCAGCCTGCCTGCTCAGCTGCTGAGCGCCCCCTCGCAGGATGAAGGTGGTGGTGGTGAGTACCAGACCCTGCGCAAACGCGGGCCTGCCCTGGCCCTCGGCACCCACCCTCTTCTTGTGGGTGCGAAGACCCAGGCTTCCTGCAGACCTGGTGCCTCTTCCTACAGCAGCCTCTGCCCTCAAGGGTGCCAGTGGGGGCCACTCACGCTCCGTGTCCTCTGCTTCCCGGCATCTGCTGACATTCACTTGGTAGATAAGGACCCTGGGAGTGAGGCTGGCACACGGGCCAGGCTAAGGGTGCAGGAGGGCTGGGCCCCTGGTATCCACCAGCAGGCTCCAAGCAGATCGCGGCCGGGAGTCTCCAGCCCTGTGGAGATGTCCTTGCTCCCTCGTGGAGCTGGCGATGATGACGTGGGTTTACTACCCCAACCAGGGCCCAGACCCCTCCCTGGTCTACCGTCCCGATGTGGACCCAGAGGCGGACAAAGACAAGGACAGCTTCCGAAACTACACTGTGAGAACCCCGCCCCAGCATACCTGCACCCTCATACAGCCCAGGGTGCCCTTTGGGAGTCCCCCCCAGCACATCTTGTGGGGCCCAGCCTGGGAGGGGCAGGCCGTGGGACTGGTGTGAAGGGCGGTGGCCCCGGCCTCGCTTACCCTCTGGCCCACAGTCAGGGCCCCTCCTGGATCGTGTCTTCACCACCTACAAGCTCATGCACACGAGCCAGACGGTAGACTTCGTCAGGAGGAAGGTGAGCGGCCATGGTGCCTGACAGATAGAGCTTCCTGCACCCTGTGCAAACTGTGAGGGTGGGACGCCCCCAGCCCCAACCAGGCACAGAGGTGCGGAGGGGACCGAGAGGGTCTGTGGGCTGGGCCTGCCCTGCATCCCCGGGACAGGCCTGGTCCTGCCACCCTGCGCCAGGCTGACTCCTCCTTCCCACCCAGCACGCCCAGTTTGGGGGCTTCTCCCACAAGGAGATGACAGTCATGGAGGCCTTGGACATGCTGGATGGGCTGGTGGATGAGTCAGACCCGGATGTGGACTTCCCCAACTCCTTCCACGCCTTCCAGACGGCAGAGGGCATCCGGAAGGCCCACCCGGACAAGGGTGCGCCCCTCCCCCACCATGGTGGGGCCCTGCTGGGGTGAAGGGGGACGGCAGGGGTCTCTGCCCTCGCCCTGCAGGCCTCATGGCTGGGTGGTGGGGAGTGGGGAGCAGGCCCGGGCTCTCGGGGCTCCCAGCCTGTACCCGCTCCCCTCCCCACACTGCCCTGCCCATCCCCCTTGCAGACTGGTTCCAGCTTGTTGGGCTTCTGCACGACCTGGGGAAGGTCTTGGCTGTGCTGGGGGAGCCCCAGGTGAGGGCTGGGCGTGGGCGGGGAAGGTCTGCGTCTCCTCCTGGGGCAGGGTGGGTGGGTATGGCTTGGCTCCCATGAGGGCAGGCTAGTGTGCCCCACCCATGGCCTCTGCTGCTCCCCAGTGGGCGGTCGTGGGAGACACCTTCCCGGTTGGATGCCGTCCCCAGGCCTCTGTGGTTTTCTGCGACTCCACTTTCCAAGACAATCCTGACCTCCAGGACCCCCGATACAGGTGCTTCCCCAGGGCTGGCCCTCCCC